TCTCTAAGATCCTGATATTTGTATATTTTCTTGGTGTTGAAAGGATTATAATGCCAGGATTATATCAGTGTCAGCTTAACTTTCTGTAAGGACCTCTTGCTTCTTGAAAGAGATCAGTCCAATTCAGCATTGCAGCCAGCACTTTGGCAGAGCAGGTAGAAACAGTTCTTTTGGAAATACAATATTATTAAAGTTGTCCAATCCTCAAGACTTCACAGGGGAGGCATTTACTAAAGCATGTGCTAAGAGCTGGAAGAAGAATAATGGTAAACCAAGTTACTGAAAATGTCAAAGAACTGTTGCTAAAGGGTAAGTATTTTATACTGATATTAGCACTTATAAAGAATTATAAGTGTTCTGGAACTATCAGTGTATTAACTGAAAAATAGTAATAATTCTTTCGGAAACACAGGGTTATTAAATTGCTAAATCCTTTGAGTTCTGTAGGGTCAGACAACTTGATGGGAACGGCTGTTCTCTAATCCAGTTTTGAAAAGTACAGTAGAAGTCTTCACAGGTGTTTATCTTGGGATAAATCCAAGATCTGTGCTTAATTGTATACTTAATTTTGTACTCTGCTCCAGCTTATCTGTTGCATAGGATGTTGTCGGGAAGGTTTTGGCTGTTCCTTTCAAGCAGAGCACAAGCAAGTGCCATCTTTTGAACTCTGAACTGGTTCAGAGGAATGATTATAATATCAATAATACAGCTTTTTATTTTAGTTTTTGGGTACAGTTTGCTTTGTTTGTGTCACTTTCATAGGTGACATCACTGTTGCTGATGATAAATGTGAACTGCAGTGTAGTGTGTAATAAGTCTTAAGAATCACAGCTTTACTAGTTGGGTAAAATCCAGTAAACTCAAAACTATATTGACAGTGTCAATTAACAGTGAAGTAAATAATGTTATTACATAGCATAATAATGTTATAATAGTGAATGAACAACATATACTGTTAACTTGAGCATGGATGTCAACAGTTTGGTGTTTAAGCTGCAGTTTCTGATGGAAATGTATGTCTGGAGCAGGCATGTGAGTGTTCAGTGTTGCCAGTGAAACTGATTTTTTTGAGCTTGTGTTTCAAGTACAGAGGATCTCAGAGCTCTCCAGGGAAAGATCTGTCCTTTTATTCTGCTGTGCTTTCCTCTCATCAGCCTCATTGTTGCGTGCGTTCTTATCTAGAGTGACTTTGGCCTTTATTTTGATAAAATACTGGGTCAGCTGGGATTTTACAGCTTGTGCTTCCCTCCACCTTCAGTGGAAATGACCTGGTAGCCCAAGGTCTTGTGTGAACTGACATTAACATTTCAATTCATTATTTCATTAGCAATGCCTAGTTTGTAGTTTGAATGAGTTTTGTTTAACTAGATGCAATAGTGGTTATTTCCTGTTTCTCCTATTTCTGGTGTAAATACAGTAATCCTATTAAACCCCCCCCACCTAAACCAGCCCAGCCTCAAAACAAGAACTTAGTGGACTTTTCAAAACATTTTGAGAAATGTTTTTTTCTGAGCTTGGAATGTCACTTTGGTACTTTTGTCTTTTTCTTACTGCAAAATAAAGGAATTCTTGTTTTCAGTTTTTAAATATATGAAAGTTAAATCACGACTTTCTGTTTTTTCATGAAAAAAGTGCTTTGGGTGCTACTGATTACTTTGTAGCTAAAGGGAAAATAAGTATTCCTTGTTATCAGATCCTGTAATGTCAGCAGCCTGTTCTACTGCCATAAATTAGTTTGTAACCAGAATTTTCATTTTAGTAATTCTTTGTGTTTCTGGCTAATTGTGTGTTGTCCATGGAGAAATAAGTATTTCTAATAGGCTGTCTTTTTTTATTATTGCTTAAAGTTATCTTTATTTTGGACTGCTGCTGATGTTGGGTTAAGATTTTTGCTAAATTGTGGAAAGCAATTTAAGAAAAGAAGCAATATCTGATTTCTGTTAATGAAATGTCAAGGTAGTGATATCTGCAAAAGCATAATTGTGCATTGAATTATTTGGTACAGTCTCACGAATGAACCAAGAAAAATATTCCATAGCAGTTCTGAGGATGAATGAGTTTTGTTTAGTCCAGCCACATGTGAGGAACCACATGAATAGAAGTAGACTTGGAATGCATTTGAAATCAAATTGTTGTCTGCGTGTTTCTTAGGTTATATCCTAGACTGAGTCTCTTGGTTTAGTTCAGCAGCACTCCTGAGTGCTTGGCTGCTGGGGATTGGAGATACCAGGGTTCTTGGACACCTCGTTGAGGGTTTTCTGTTTCTCAACAATTCCCAGACCTGCAGGTCTTGAATGATGAGCAGAGCACTCTGAGCTTCACACAGCCTTAGCGAGGAACAGTGTGAGCATGATCCTCATTGACATCTGGGAAATGGTGTCTCAGGAGCTGTTAAAAACAAACCAAACCCCCAAAGTGTGATAAAAATGGACATGGGCAGATTTTTATATTAAAACTTTATCCACAAGGCTGTGAACAAATGCCCTCTAAATAATCTGACTAAGAAAACCTGATTATGCAATAATATCTGTTTGGAGCAATCTCATTGTTTCTCCATTTTTTTTTCCCAGTAGAAAACCTACCTTGGGTTTATTCATTTGCTTCTAGGTCTTGTGAGAACAATCTTAATTTTAACCTATTTTGATTTTGTGGTCAAAAATCAAAGTGAATTGCGTCTTAATTGCCACTTGTGTAGAAATTTGCAGAACATACTGACACATGAACATCTGACAAAGCACAAATAAATCAGAACAGAACCAACTTGCTTTCCAAAGTGGGATACATTTTGCCTGTCTTACAATATCTGTAAATCAGGGTTTTATTTAGGTTAGGCTCTCTTTAGTGGTAATTTGCAGCATGTCAGGGTGCATGCACAGAGAGGCACTCCAGGGGTCAGCTAATTGAGCCTCTCCTGAGTGAGGAGTGAGCCTGTGTGATTAGTTGGCTTTAACAGCCTGCTGTTAGATTGCTCACATTAAGGGAAACCTGCAGCAACTACTTAGGTATCAGTTCTGATTTTAATCTTAGGTTCCAGTGTTACTGGTAGATGAAATATTAGAAGTATGAATATTTTTTGTTGTAATTAAAAAAAAAATCAGGTAGTGTTCCCTGTGCATGAAAATGGTTCAGTTTGTGCCCTTAACTATCACAGGTTTTGTGGCCAGTAATATTTGTGAAATAGTGTCTGAATAACTGCAAAATGTGGTGTTAGCTGCTAGACAGGCTATTTCATCACAGTGTTTGTTACTGTGGTGGACACAAAGGAGCCTGTACATGCATAGTACAATTACAAGTGAGATACTAACTCTACACTGCTCCAGAAATTAAGTTACATTGAGGGGAGGAATGTTGGGCTGTCCTTTGAGCTGGTTTTCTAGGAAATACCTGCTGTTTGTTGGTTATAAGGGGGTAAATAAACCAACTTGTTTCTTGGTCAAGTTGAGCATTTCAGTTCCAGCTCTGACTTGAACTCTGATTCTCACTGAAATTATCGGAAGAAATTTAGTCCCTCACTTAGGATTTGGTGCTTGAGGCAGGGAGGGTTGTGGCAGCCCTGCGTGCCACCCTCCCCTGTCCCAGCAGTGTCTGGAGCTCTGTGCAGCTTTTTTGCCTTTGGAGTGTGTTGGGGGCTCTGTTCCTCCTGAGCTGCTGGGAGCAGGCTCTGTGTGCCTCTGCCAGCTGCCATCAGCTCAGCTCTGATGTGCCTGGAGAAGCAAAGTGGCAGAAGTTTCTTATCAAAGTTCAGCCGTCTTCAGAATTTGCTTTTTCTTTGATGTTTTAACCTTGCTGTAGCTTGATTTGTATTGCTCTGTTCACTTTGTTGTCTGTGTGGGTCAGACTAAGGCTGGTCAGGCTCTGTCCATCTGTGCCTTCAGCACGTCTTAACTTGCCAGGTAGATGAAGTTTCCATGAGTAGGTGAGCATCTCTGGGTTAGTCATGTCCTGATGGAACAATCTGTAGTTTTTCAAAGATGTACTAATTTCCGCTTCTTTATCTGAATGTGATGAAGTAGGGGAGTGGTGGCTTTTTGTAAAGGAGTTTAGAAACTGGCAGTAGAGGAAAAAAAGCCTTGACAGGTCAAGTCATGCAACTGCTCTTGCCACCTTCTCAATGATTATTTTAGTCTGGTAGGTCTTATCATTGTGAAGTTTCCTGTTCTTTTCTTTACAATATTGTGTAAAGTATGTATCACTGTGCCTAATTGTTCAGTTTTCATTTGTCCTCACTAATCTTCTAGTTACTTTCATGTATGTTTTTTTTTTGTCATTCTCTTTAAATTCTGGATTTCATCCCTCGGTTACTTAAGAAAGCACAATGCCTTGCACAAAAGGCTTGCATTCAGCATGCTCAAGCAGTGAAACTGTGTCTGGCCTAATCCTCTTCCAGAAGGAAAGCAGTGGCATGAATAGTGTCCTCCATGTTCTTAATACTTTTGAATTTTTTATTTTATTTTAGTAAAGACAACATTAACCTTTTGGAGGAGAACAAAGTAAAACCAGTCAGTAGAATATCTGCTACAGTTTAGTCACAGTGTTTTTTCTTGGCTGTGACGCAGAAGTTTGGACATCCATTTATTGTTTTTATTCTGTTTCCTGATCTTGTGTGTTTGTATGTGGGAGTGTGCACACTTGAGGGTTTTAGGTTTTGTTCCATGGATCATCTCTGATGTTTTAGGGAATTCAGGTGATCCACAGGATGAGGAGCTTGTTCTCTGGACCTGTGCCCGTATCTGAGTAGGGGAGTAGAATGTTCAGGGAACTCTGCTGGAGATGTTTAGATAACTGTATAGTAGACATGGTGTTTGCAAATAGAATTATTGGTTTGGAAGAGAACTGGTAGGATTCAGAAATAAAATGCCTTAATTATTGAAAGATAATGAAGACTGAGAAGCAATGAAATAAGTGAAGAGGAAACATTAACCTACTTGGAATACAGCTTGAATACCTCAAAATTTGAGATTAATTAGGGACTAAGGCAAATAAATTATTCTCTGTTGCAGAATATTTAGCTCTCTCTTTGAGCAATGTTCCTTGCAAATCAATCTTGCATGATGAAAAAACTAACACCATAGCTACTGGCCAGGACCAAAGGCTTGATAACTAAGGATGTGGAGCACTGTGCCCATGTCACAGGATGGTGCTTGCCCAGGAGACTTGGTGCCTCAGGATGTGAAGTGTCCCCGGGTGCAGCTGGGGCAGGAATTCCCCAGGGTGGCTTTCCGAGGCCACATCCGCTCCCTCCCCAAGCTGATGGAGATAACGCGCCCGGCCCGTGCAAGTAAGTCTCTCTGAAGCTGCTGCTCTTGCTCACTGCACAGGGAATGAAATTAATAGTGTATTTCCAGTCACAAGTAAGTCTCTCTGAAGCTGCTGCTGCTCTTGCTAACTGGCACAGGGAATGTACTGGAGAAAGTTTTTTCTGCACTGTGCTGCAGTCTCTGGTGTGTTTTGTCAAAGTACAGTTGTGATTGCTGTATGGAAATGGTTGTTTGCTGGAGGTTTTACTCCTGAAATGAAAGCACAATGTGAGAAGAGAGAAAGTGAGAGGAATGCTTTGATTTAGAACATGTCTGTAAAGAAGGGATTGCATTGAACATGCAGCTGTTGTGAAGGTGATTTTTGGCTGTCATTTAATTAGCTGTATTGAACTTATCAATGTAGTAGTCTTGAATTAGCAAACATCTCTGCAGCTCCAGTTCTGCTTATTCCATCCTTGTGGAACTAGAATGTCGCTGTAAAGAACTTGCATATAAACTTACACTCCTTCACTTCTGTGGAAAGTGTACAGTGTTTGAGAGGGACTTTAAGGTGGCACCTCAGTATATCAGCAGGAAAGTTCAGTTTTATTTGTGCATTGTCTGCAGTAATTCATAGGTATGTTACTTCAGGACAATGGAACTGGTGCTGTGAACGTGGTAAAAAGCTGTAGTACATCTCTATCTGAACCACCTGGAAGAAAATGTGCCCTAGCAATTGCAAAATCAATACTGTATTTCCAGTAACTAGTTCTACTGAATTTTCTATTCAGTTTGGGCTTCCTGTGTGCAGGATGGTGTATAAAGCCAGCATGCCAAAGGGTCAAATTTGGAAGGACAGTCTAATGGGAAGGGTCTGAGTGATAATTGAGCATATAAATGGAGAATGAGAGAGAAGATAGAAGCTCTTTATATATATATAGAGAGAGGTCTTCTGAACAGATCAATTGTGAAAAATTCACTGGTGGTAAAATGAAGATGCATCTAAAAAATAATAACAGTCAAGCTGAAGATTCATTTAAAGTCACTGGTCTTTGTCAGGCTCAAGGAGTGGTATGAAGTAATCTTTCTTAACTAAGGAGAGGTTATGTGGATTATGGTAACAAAGGCATTTAGAAGGAGCAAAAGAATTATAGTCTTGTTTAAAAAAGTGAGATTGAATGTATGAATGTACCTTGGCAACAGCAGGATTTTGTACATAAAATTTTTGAGAGTTTCTCCAAGTGTTATAAGTAAAAGAACACCCATTATGCTGACTTGAGACAGTGATAAGGTAGGGTCCCCAATGGAAGGAGGAAAACTAAGGCAGCAAAGAATTGCTTTAAAAATCACTCAGTGATTATAAAAAAAACAAAAACAAACCAGGCTGATATTTCCAACATTGTCACCAGAACCAGCAAATAGGATTTCTTATGTAATGTAGGACCATAATACAGGAATTGAGGAAACAAACCAAAGTTGCCATGACCTTGCTGTGTTTAATAAGTGTAATGGAGAAGATACTGCAGAGACCAGAGTCTTGGAGAATCAAGCAGACAGCAGTATTTCTGTTGATGTCATAATTTGCACCATCATTTGTGTCCAATTTAATGAGTGAAAGGTGTATGGCAGATAACTCCATTTCCTCAGCAAAAATTGTAAATGTACTTTAACCACAACAGGATGGCGGGACTGCAGCACACTGCAGCAAAATTGATCTGATATACTCCAGTATAGGCATAACAAATACAGCAAGCAAGCAGTTTTTGCAGATTTTAACCTTTGCTTAAGTTGGTAACTGTTTGATTTTGATGCTGTGTTGTTAAGCTTACTGATGTTTCTGTAGTAATGTAAAAAATTCTACAATTACAGCAAAGTGAGCATCTCTTATGGGTAGGTGGGGTCAGCAAATAAGCTGAGCTTCCTTGTAAAGGCAGCAGCTCATGAACATTTTGAGGTCAGTTGTCAGAGCTGTGAGAAGGGCACTGAGCACATAAACACAATAGGCTGCTTTTTTCATATATTTTTGGTCAGCTAAGTATTTACTTACAGAAGCTATAAAATCCCTCTGTTCTTTGTGAATATTGTTTTTCCAACAGTTTTGTTCAAAGCACCTGTCAACAATTTCCAGAAAATTGTGCTGCTTTCCATGCATGCCTTCCCCTCAGTAAGAATAGGACTGAGTGTTCTCATAATTTTTGGGCTTAAAACAATAACTTTTGTAACAGTGGGGTTTGTGCTGATCACTATGTGTAGGGGAGGAGTCTCCTCTTTGCTGTTAGGTAAATTTTGTAAGTTGATTCAAATTTCAAAATGCAGAGAGATTTTTGCTTGATTGTATTACAATAATTTAGTGTAGCCTTGTTGAATTGATTACTGTAATCATTTAAAGGATGCACCCAAAAATCCAGATGTTTAATCTCTCACTTTTGGTGTATTCAATGTGGAGTATTTTAACTTGTAGTGTTTTCATTTGAGAAAATAATGTCTTTTTCTTTCATTTTTCATTTCTGTAGTGGTTACATCTTTTGTAAATAGAAAAAGGTATTCCTTGGATTAATCCTTTCTTAAGGAGATGCTCTTGGAAATAATTCATTTGTATTGGCTGGGAGAGCAGGGAGTGAAGAGGTACAGACAAAAGAGAAGAATTTTTGTTTGCTGAGCAGAGGGTAATGGGAGACATAGGTCCAAGAACTTATTTTGAAGATGGAAGTCAATTTAATTTTTTTCCCCCTCAGAGGTTGTTTTAAACTGTAGTGCCCTTGGTTGGTTTTTTTTGGCTTTTTTTTTTTTTTTTACTACTTGCTACAGGAAAATCTACTCATCTTCCATGTTCTTTTCTTTTTAAAACATTGTTCATTGCATATGGGAATGCTCTGATTTTAGTGTATATTATATCAGGTTTTAGTACAGGAGTGTAAGAGGAGCCTGAAGAATGCACAGCTTGAATGTTCAGAACACAGTAAGGGTGTTGAATGTCTGGGGATTAGTGGGCATAGTGAATAACCAACAGCATTTAAGAACTAAAAAGGTGCTTTGGGGGCTGTTTTGTATTGTCATTACAGAATCTGCCTTTGAAGTGTTCGGTTTTACTAAATGTATCTGACTGGTTTGGGCACACAGCTCAGAGGCTGCTGTTACCATTAGCAGCCATTCCTGAATGCACAGGAGCTGTCCCAGTGCTTGCCACTGTTCTGTACAAAAACAGTTACAGAAGTGAGCACACACCAGGCACATACAGCACTGTAGCTGTGACCCCACTTGTGAATTTTACTTTGAGGTGACTTTTTATTCCATTTTAATGAAACAGAGGAGTAGAAATAGAAATAACTCTACCTTGGGAGTAACACCTTTGATACCGTTAACATTGTATGACTTGAGGTACTAAAAAGAAACAAATTCAATTAACCAAATGAGTTTTTTCCCTACGGATTCTTCAAGGTTACAGCATCATTCTCTGCTTATCAAAACCTGCTTTTTTTTTCTTCACAGGTCATGGCAACCATAAAGAAAACAGTCCTTTCCTGAACAGTTCGGAAGCTGGCAAAGGAGGCGATTACTATGACAGAAATCTGGCCTTGTTTGAGGTAATTTCTGGCTGGTTTTTGTACTTCTAATGTGATTTGTGATCTTCCATGATGGGAGGGATTGAGCACATCTTTCTCCCCCACCTGCCTTTTTGTGGGTGTCCATCTGTTGTCGGGGCACCAGCAGGCAGGGAGGTCCTGTGTGGTGGCAGAGCTCAGGTGTGGGGACAGCTGGGTCTGTGAGGCAGAGCTAAAACTCTGTTAACTGTAAATATCTGGAATTAAGGAGGGGCAGGCTCTCCTGCTGGAGGCCTTTTCCATAAGCACAGGACCACACCAGGTGTGCAGGCTCTCCTGTGGCACTGAGTGAAAGGAGGATCCACCAGGATCCCACAGGCCATGCTGCTGTGCTGAACAGGTGGTACATCTTGTCTCAGCCCCTTCTGGAAGGAATTGTGATCAGATTTTTAAACATGTCAACTGCAGGTCAGATCACAGGAAGGAGTAAGAAAAGGGGTGCTTGGCTCATGTCATCCCTTTAGGGATGACCCCATTTGGGGTCCATTTCTGCATCATGTACAAAGAACATCATGCTACTGATGCCACTAGAAGCTGTTCAAGGTGATACCCAAAGATATGATAAAGCTGCAGACAGTGAAATCTTTCTCAATTGGTTTTTATTTCCTGTGTGGAAAGTTGTTTCTCTTTACCATACAATTCCTTATTGTGCTATCAGACATGCAAAACTTTAAAATTTAAGAGAAAAGGAAAGGGGATGATTTTGGTCTGGGGCTTTTTCCTCCCCCCTGCCCCAAACCAGAAACAAAATTGGATGGGATGAGTATAAAGGTGGGAGGCCCTTCATACATGTGTCTCTTGGGAATTTTGTCTAGATCCACAGGAATTAGATAATATAGTTTTGAAAATGTAATAAAATCATCAGAGTGCATACTTGTCTGCAATAAGCAGAGTTTAATCACTAAATCTCTGATTTGTTTGGCAGCTTGACCTTTTTAAAAGTATATCTGTTGATGTGAGTTGACATTAGAGGTACGTGCAAGCTACACATTCATTTTCTCTAAGGCTCACACTTCTTCATTGCTGCAATTATGCTTTTCAGCACCTGAGGAGAATGATTCACATGGTGCAGACATTTTGGCCTTTTCCTTTCAGAAAATTAAAACCTCTCACCAGTGGTTGAGGCACAGCGAAATACTCTGTCATTTCCTGGGTGATTTTTCTGGTGTGTTCCCTGGTAGCCTCAGGCATGCCCAGGAAGGTGTGATCCCAGCCACTCTTCAGAAGTGCTGTGAACTGCAGAAGCTGACTTGTTGTCTTCTTCCACAGGAGGAGCTTGATATACGACCAAAAGTGTCATCTCTGCTTGGCAAGTTGGTCAACTACACAAATCTTACTCAAGGTGTCAAGGAACATGAAGAAGCAGAAAGTACTGATGGATCGAAGAAGAAAGTATCAAAAGTAAGTAGAGATTCTCTCCATGGCCAAAAGTGATGATTGGGATGATTCCCTGTGGGATTTTTGGGGAACTGGCCTCCCTTCTGCTTGTTCTTAACCTTTCTCGGGAGCCATGACAATGTTGCAAAGAAATGCCAGGGAAGCTGTAGGGATACAGCTGTAACAGAGAACTGGGACAGATGTGATGGGTAAAACTGCACTGCAGTGCAATTCCCTATGCTTGGTGTGCATTTAGATAAGAAGGCTTTCAGTGGGCCACAAATAAAAAACTCCACAACCCCCCAGCTTTTTCCTGGTGCTGTTCTAGCTGCCCAGTGGTACCTGACACATCTCTGCAAGGCAATCACAGGGTTTGCAGGAGACAACACCTGTCTGGAGCGGAGGGTGGAGCTCAGATTGGGCACCCTGGGGCAGCTCGGGAGTCATTCTGGTGTCAGGCACTTAGGCAGCTGAATTCTGCCCCAAAGCATCTGCATTTAGATGTTTGGCCCTGGAATGGCTGCAGCAGGTGAGGCTGGGTTGTTGGTAGCTGATTCCTATCAGCAGGGCAGTGTTTAAGTGCTCCTCTCCCCTCTGGCAGAGCTGCAGGTGCTTTGGTTACTGCTGCACCTGCAAGTGGTGTGCTTGCATTTTATGGCTTGCAGGCCTGTCAGATTGTTTACAAGTTCTGTCAAAAGAAGGGTTTCCAGAAAAGCTAAGATAGCACTTGAATTCTGCAGGTTTTCTGGCACTGCCCTACAAAGCTTGAGCCATTTCAGAGAGAGATGGCACTGATAATGTTGCAAACCAATGGTGCTCTCAAGGAGTGAGCATGTTACCCCATGCTGAATGCCCTTACTCACGCTCCAGCTCCTTACTCTGCACTTTACACTGGGGATAGCAAAATTGTTTTGTCAACGTGAAGCTTAACATTCAATTTTATTTGAGATCACATCCACTGAAAGTGTTGCAATATTGTGGTTAATTTTACATCATGACAGGACTGACCTAAGGTCGCCTGGGTGAAATAGCTGCATTCTGGTCCTATAAGCTGACATTAAAAAAGTAATTTAAGCTTTTT